CTATCCCTTACAAATAAGGCCAGTCATGTTTTCATTACAATGATTATTGCTTGTCTATAGGCGTAAGATTCAGGTTCAAATTGTGATCAGTTATTTAGAATTCTGTGAAAGTCGTGATGACAGACTCCAAGTTCATTTAATCGATGGATAATGAAAACTTAGGTCGCTGAATATGATGTCTAAGCTTGACGCCCCACTTATGATTAGTTTGATTAATGCCATTCAGTCAACATTTGACCAGTCTTGAATCGCATCTGGGACTCTAGTGAAGGAAATATACGTAGATAGACAGTGTATCTGGAGTAATAATATCCTCAGAGATGAATAAGATGTTTTGACATAAAGTTCTCCTAAGCTAAACTGATATCCTGGAAAAAGTACAGAGGGCAGCTATTCATGCGATACCAGAACTCCGGGGTCTACCATGCAAAGAGCAGCTTGAAAAGTTAGACCTCTTTGATCTGTCCTATCACAGACTTAGAAGAAATCTAATTTTGACGTATAAAATACTAAGAAATGATTTTGAACCTAACGGATTCCCTCTTATTCTTCCTACTAGATCCGGGCATCTTAGAGGACATAGTATGCGAGTAGAAAAGCCAAGAACTGACTAAATACCAGTGGTATACAGGGTTTCACACAGAGTCATTTATACTTGGAACCTTTCATTCGAAGAAGTGGTGTCCGCACCTTCAGATGACTCATTCAAGAGGAGAGCGGACACTCATAGAAACGTACTAGAAAAGGGATAGCATACTACACAAATCTAAACCTAACCAGAATTTCCCTGATTGTCAAGCTGGATGGTTCACGAGCCGCACATTCGAGAACACAGTTGCTCTGTTATAACAGTGTGGGTTTTGAAAAGTTAGCAATACTAGAACTTCAGATAATGGCAACGTATTTCACAGCTTTCTGTTAAACAATACCGTGACTGCAAAGATTAGTCACTAATATCTGTGTGAAATTAACACTGACACACTACTCTTATGGTTGTATGTTCTCAAATAAAAGATTATACTTTCTCTTACACAATCCAGATAATTACAATGAAATTTGTATTTACGTCAAAGTAGTTAGCGCGGGTTTTGAAACTTCGTGGAAGCAATGTCAGTCGGGATACCTATCAAAGTTTTACATGATGCCGAGGGACATGTCGTTACTCTAGAAACTGTTAGCGGTGAAGTTTTTCGTGGAAAACTTGTTGAGGCAGAAGATAATATGAATGTTCACATGTGCGATCTAATAATGACTTCCCGTGACGGTCGTACATCAAACCTTCAACAGGTATATATTCGAGGCAGTAAAATTCGGTATGACTTCGTTAAAAATTATTGTCTTTTTAGTTTCCTTATCCTTCCTGATATGCTGAAAAACTCTCCGATGTTGAAACGTCCACAGGGTGCTAAGGGATTAGGGACGGGAAGAGGGAAGAATGCCATGTTAAGGGCTGGTGGTAAGTTTCTGAAGTTTAAAAGTAATTCACCGTTAAGTTCGCGGGCGTGGCACTTTTGTTCGCGGACGTGTTGCGACTGTTCGTGGTACCGGAAGAACTACCGGCAGGTTTTGATAACTCCATTAATTTATCGAGTAACTGAATTTGTATATGTATCAAAATATCCATATATCTAAATCATTCCACATGTCTTCTCATTGTTTGCTTCTCACACGTCATTTAATGTAAAGTTAATTCCCATTGCATTTACCCTTAAATCACCAATAAAAACTGGTCGTACATTCTGTTACATATTGTCTGGTATATCATGTGTTGTCTTAGTACAGTTATGCCCATTTAGTTACAGTGAGACTAAATTACGAATCTTCGAAGCACCAGTGTGCAATTATATTTGAGGCTTTGCTAATATATTTGAATGCTTAGCTGGAAATTCTAATCACACGATGTACGAGTTATACAAGCATTATCATTGGCTGCTTAAGCTTTTAATTATTTTTCTCTTTTCGTCAAGTTACTGAACTTTTATCCATCACAGCTTAAGTGGTGTTCAGTTTTGTCCGTTCAGACGTTGAATTGAAATGAGACAGAATACTCAGTAGTTACTTCATCCACGTTAAAGGTTGCGGTCGATCAATCCTACTCCATACGTAGCCATATTTGCCTAGTAATTTTTGTCTTAACAAGGTTTGGTTGATTAAAAAATTTCACAAATGTAGGGTTGTCTCGTCATCTGCACTTAAAATACATAACACTATATTATCGCTGTACCTTGTCGAGTCACAATTGTAGCATAGTGTGTTAAAAAGCTTGCGTATTTACGATTATGTAAATAAGTAGAAACGTGACTATTAAATCAAATAGTTTGTGTATTAGCTACACTCTTAAACGAGATGAATTGAATGCCCTTTTATTCTAGTATTTGGCTCATGTACGTAATTGCTATCTCTCATACCTAACTTTTTCAGAATAATTGCCTGTTTATAGAGGTTTGGTGGACTAGCAGTTATTATAAATCTTCATTAAAAGTTAGCCAGCTCATTTGCTAACAATGTGGCTATGCATTCAAGGACAGCTAGAAACAGTATGTTAGGTAATCTCCAATCCCACCGAATTTGTGTTTGGTACTTTCGTAATACATTTATATTCCGGGTTCTAGGCTGCAATCGACTGAGTGGGAAAAAGTAGTTCCGTCACAACTGACAGCTAGTTAAACTTTTATTTTATTGGTTTCTTGTAAGTACTATCGATTTCCGAGCTTCCTAATTAATATTTTCTAGTTCCGGCGCCGTGAGACATGGGTTCGTTGACAGTAAAACGTGGCACCAATATTCATCGTTTCAAGTTCCAACAGCTCAAACCATGATCGAGAGAAGAAATTATTGAGATGCTAACTAAGTTGAAACAATCATATAAATTGTAGTAGAAACCACATCGTTGCTTACACAAGCTTTTTTTATAAAGTTTCACGATGAGTTATAGTCCAACAGTGATTGCACGAACTACTTTCTTAGTTTGACAGCTTTCCAGTCTACTATGCTATTCGACAAAGAAGTTAACAAAAGAATCGGTCGTTTCCAATAAAATACTGATCATTAGCGAAAGCAGTGACTTTAATAACTCATCTGAAGCATGATAAAAAAGCAATTACTAATTTATGGACCCAGTGGTCTAGTGGTTAAGTGCTCGCGCGCGAAACCAGTAGGTCCTGGGTTCGAATCTCACACGGGGCGAGGTCGTGGATGCGCGTTGCTGAGGAGTCCCATAATAGGACGAAACGGCCGTCCAGTGCTTCCAGGTTTTCCATGGTGGTCTAGCTTCAACTGACTCATGATCTTAGTCATTGAAAAAAATATTACTTTTGCCCCCAAATGCCCTTGTACGGCCGAGAGTGGGGAGAGTCCACTCTCCCTCTCGAAATGCTCTCACATGGCCATGCTTATATAGCCTCTGCCAGGGAAGTCCTACTCTCTGCCTTCTCGTGGCGGGGGTGTTGTTTACAAAAATGAGAGGACAAAAAGCGAATGTCCGGCGCTTTAACCGGACCCAAAACCAATGGTGCACATGGGCTCCAGTATCCTGAAGGAACAAATGGCGTATGAACCAATCGTTGGTCACCGGCTACCATGGGACTGCGTCTCCTCACGATGCTCCACTGCCTTGTGGGTCAGACGTCCAGGTCGAAGGCTCGGGGTGTGGCCCCCTAAGAAAACCACCTGCTTCGGTCTGGGCACCCGGGCAGTATCACAGCCCTCACACAAATCAATTGAGATTCGTGTGGCGCATATGTATTTGGTGCCTCCCTGTACCTATACTTATGTGTTAAAATAAATAAGGCGATTCCGGAGTACAGTACGCTTTTGTATGAGTAGTTATTAAGTTAATATTAACCACTTGATATGACCATGTGCTATTTCTATTAACTTTCCCGGACCACCTGCTTCGTGTTTGCGCAGCATTCCAGCTCTCACACAAATCATACTATGTGTGGTGCATATATGTTTGGCACCTCGCTGTACTAATGTTTGTGTTTAAATAAATAAACTCCCAAACCACTGGAATAAGTTTTTCTTACCCACGTAGGTTGGCATGTTGCGTAGCTTATATGATGTTAAAAAACGCTCGAAAAAGCATAAACCGTGTAATATCAAGTGGCTAAGTAAGAGTAGTTTCGTCGGGATTAAAATTTACCAAGAAATACTGAATAAAAGTTTATGCAGTTGATATTATTTTCCATAAGTTGTCTGTTAATGAGCTTTTATTTTGAATATGGATAGGCGGGCTGATAGTTCACATTGATCATTATAGTGCAGTATCAATCAACTCATTCATCAACCACTTAAGTGCGAGCCACACTAAACGTAGGGCCTAATGATACTACCTGGTGACCTAAACCGGATTAGGTTGAATATTGTCATCGAGTTACCTCATGGATCTGAACGCATAAATAAATACCGAAATAGATGTACGCGAAATGAAAACAAGATTGTAAAAAAATAGAGTAAGGAGGGTGTGCATAGCAAAGAAAATAAGTAGGATTTTGTATATTTAGACACTGAACTTCAAGTAAGCCCGTCTTAGTTACGTCAACAAGATGAACTACCATATACGCTGTGAAATATGAGATCTTTGCAGATAAATAATTTGTATCATTAATATTTATAAGGGCTTTATTGTATAGATATAGATCTCTGAGTTAAACACCTAAATCCGTCCCAATCTTTTGGTTTTAGATAACAGTATCCACGTATGTTAAAGTATACGACATGTCATGTTAAAAATTGTTGTGCACATTACGATTCACGGGAACGAGATATTGTCTGAATCTTGCCAAATGACATAAATCTAAGTGACGAAAAACCTGTCAATATGTATTGCTAACATTAAAGGTAGAAGAACATGTTCCCAGTATCACAATCATACGAAATTGCTGTAGATTTGCTAACAAACTCAATAGTTTTGCGAAGAAAACTAATGAAATCTTGTGATGCAACAACTTATTCACTTCATATTGCATACGTACCACAGGAAACGAATGAAAGACAAGTAATTTCTGCAAATCAATTATTGTAAATAATAAGCTAAAAAGAAAACATTTAACCATAAGCACAAATATTCGTTTCCCAAAAACAAAATGAGAAAAAAGGAACACCAACTAGTAAACAGACATTATTTATGCAAAGAAATAGACTGATTTAGTAAAATTATCTGTTAGGAAAATTAAATGAGAAGGATAGCTATTTGAAAGGTGTATATTTTTTATAATAAACTCTGCTTAAGATTTGAAACTAGAATAAAGTCTTTACCGTTAGCCAATGATGAATACCACTTATAATACAAAGAAAATAACTAAGTTAGAAATAATTAATTTCTACTGGAAAATAATCGAATGTATAGAAGTTGGAGGGTTTTTGATTTTGAAACAATGACGTTGATAGATGAAAACCGTATTCACAAATGCAATTAATCAAATGGTAAGTTAACATGCATCAAGGATTGCACTTCTGCATGCCTGGGATCTGTAGTGAGATAAAAGAATATGTTTAACAAAAACATTACGACAAGTGATTACAACAAGATGACAATCATTTGAATCAATTGGTGCAGACAGCTGTAACTTGTTCTGTCGAGTAGTAGCTGTATGATTTTTACAATAATTTGACTAACCTTGCTCAGAGTTATGGACTGGTGCATGCATTCGGGTTTTTCTTCCATTCTCATTGCTAATCATTTTAAAAGGGAATAAACTGACAGCAGAACTGCCTTAACATACTAACTATAATAACCACTTGTTTATAGGTCGGTAGCGCAGAAAATGTGAGACAGGACTCAAATTAGGTTCACTATTCATATCATAAATAGATCAGATCCTACATTTCAAAACTACTTATTTGCTGACATTCCTCGTGTTTACAAAGGCTACGTAAAACTAGCCAAAATGTATGTATATAATGTCTGGTGACCTTTTACTGTCCCGAAACTAAATAGCTGAGTCGGGAATGATACTTATGCCTCATATCAGTTTCCAAAAAATTGTGACGATCTTCATGGTTACATATCATTTGGATTGCAGTTCAACAGTATCAAATTATTTACAAAAAATCTTAGATATACAACATGTTTAATGATATAAACCGTATTTATAATTGTCCGGCACTGTCGAAATTCGCGAAGTTTACATTATTATTGATAACACGTAATCAGTCATTTGAGCAGTGGGTTATTGGATTGATCACTTAGCGCTCGATCATGTCCGAAGTGAAATTTCTACTCCAACTACTTCCTTTTGCAGTCAGTCACACACAACGTGGAACCTCGTACATGTGTACATTGGTTTAAATTGTCATATGTCATCAGCACAGCGATATGAAATTATTAGGGCAATTCATAGAGCAGTAGAGGTATGAACAGTAATAATGGTAGTAAAAAAGATTACGCATCAAAGATACGACCCAAGAAAATATAAATTAGTGAAATAAACAAAACTATGAGGAATTCATAAGCTTAGGATCTGGAAGAAGATAAAGAATGGATACACCTGTGCCATTACAAACGATTTTCAGCCTTTTCATTGCACGTCTCCAACCACTGGTTACGATAATCATGTAAAACCCGACCAGATAGTCTACGTGTAAACATGGCTCAACCCAACTGTCTATGACTCCATGAACTGATGTCTCGTCCTTATTTTTCCGTCTCTAGTTTTCTTTCAGCCTACCTATGTAACACATGTCCCAACAACGTCAGTTGAAGAATTTTCGCTGTCTCGTTAATCAATTGGCCATATTTACCTAGTGCTATATCCTTAAATCTGAAATTGCTTGCTCAGTTGTCCAGAAATACACAGATGACACTTATCACTCAATACTAGTAACCCACGAGTATCATCTATTTTTAATGACCAGTCTAGTTGATTTCCAGGTCCATAAACGAAAATTATGCTTTCACAAAAAGTTTGGTTCGCTTGCACACCCCTAATAATGCTCGATTTACTCTTGTTCATAGTAAAAGCCCTTTATTAGTTCTTAACATTTTTTCCATTCCTATTATCAATAGCTTTTCGCTGACTCCGTCATTTTTTGCGTGGGCTACTAGTGCTAGCGATTCGATTTCAAAAAATACTGATCTTGATAACCTAAAGATGTGTTCCGAATCATATGATGAATTTTTAAATGTTCGAACCCTTTGTCGAACCAGGTATCAGGATTTAGTAGCTAAGACTAGGATTTTATGCCATTGATTTCTATTGTGTCAAGATTTAGTACACGGAATCCAAAGTTTATAACTCGCATTACCTCATCTAGATCATGCAGATTCCTTCTTGGTGTATCTAAAGATTCTTTAATGATTTTTCGTTGCCTCATATGTATTAGATTCGAAAGCAAAACGGGAACTTATTGAATAGATGCGTCTGAACCATCGATTGTGTGTTTAAAAGCCTAAGAACATGCATAATTTTCACTGATTACAGACCAGAGAAAGTTCTATAGAAAGCTTTTTAGCATTAATTAAAAGGTAACGAACGCTGGTTAAGTAATTACGGCGAGCGATTTTGGCGTATAAATAGGTAGGCCTAGTCACGTTGAAAAACGACCACATCGATCATTAGAGGCTCCAGCTCAGAGAATTCCAAAACAGTAACCACCTGCTACGTTTATATTCAGATAACTGTTAACTGTTGAAGAGGATAAACTTAAAGCACAGAAAGAGACGTTTTCTGAAATGAAAACACAGACAGAATGGCGACCACACTAACATGACAAAAAAACTGGCGCTCGTTTTGGAGCACATAACTGAACTATAATAACGCTCCCGTGAGAGCACATAATTTCCTGCATCCAATAAAACGTAGGAAAGTCACTAAAACTAAAAATCCCAGAGCTCAACTCATAGATAGAAATGTCAAAGGAGATAGAATAACCTGATATGATCTGTTATAAAAACAAGTGATGAGTGTTACTAATGTAGAATAAAAGTTTAGGAAATCCAAGTAGATTTCAGTAAATCATTGGACCGAATTTATGTTGGAAACCTCATTATAGTGGTCGATGAAATTAGGAACTTCATATTTTCATTGAAAAATCGCCACACTCGTAGAGCATGCACGATATATTTCTGCCTAATAAAAAGCGTGTAACCAGGAAGAAAGTTAACGCAGAATTTCTCTAAGGTTATGCAAAACTGTTTTTGATGGAAAAGGATATTTGTAGATAACCAGTATTTGATCACAGATATCTTTAAAGTCTTACCAGTGCATGGTGCAACTATCAAGTTAGTAGTGCTGAAGAAAGTGTATAGTAAAAGCCAATAATAGTAGACTGTTGATGAGGATATGTATTTTTGTCAGGCGAAAGATCTGAATCCTTGACACATCCACAACACATTCTTACTATTGAAATACTTTAACATTAAATACATAAACGACTTTGCGTATTATAATCAAAAATGCAATTAAAATTTTTTTGTGTTAAACAGACATTTTAATCCAAAAATTCATATTTCAATTGAATTTTTCACCCAGAAACTCATTGTAAAACTGTTCGTTTTATTTGACATTATCAAATTAGTCGATAAAATAGCACATGTAACAAAAAAAAACCTTTCTGTATTTTAGAAATGACTAACTAAGACATCAGAAGCTATAAATCATAATCACAATGTACAATTATGAGATAATAACTATATGGAGAAAAAAACTGTTCACTTTAGTAATCCAATGACAGTATAACGTTAAGAAAGTGAAAAAATTGCAAAACTATAGTATTTATAAAGCAAGCATAAATTGTACTAGAACTAATGTTATTTATGAAAGTAAACGATAAAAACAATGTTATAATTATAGACGACATTCAATTAATTATTGTACAACAAGTTGATTACATAATCAAGACAATATATTTACATACTCTATGTAACTGTGTCGTTTACAAATTAATATTTATATTAAAACAAAATGTGAGATTGACCGTTATTTTGATTTTATATACAATTAATTGTCGAATAATTTTCCTTCAAAAAAGAACTATATATTAGGCTATTATTATTCGTTGAGATTAAATTAGCTGCTTTTGGATAGGTCATTTAACGAAGTATACAACTAAACATAGCGAGACTAATTTATGGATGAACCAATCAGATTTAAGATAGTAGATCTTGGATTTTGTTCACTCATTTGGTTAAATACTTTTAGCATTATAGCTGTTATCAGTTTGTGATAAAAACATTAAATTTAGCTGCTAAACCTAATGTTCAACTGTAAATCCTAATTCTAATTGCTCACACTAATATATAACCCTCATTTAACATTTGTAAGTAGGTAGACATTCCAAGGTCATTTTAACGTTGCTGAAAGGTCGTCCATAAATTCTAACCTCACTTAAAAAAAAGGAAATGATGATCTAGTTCAATTATCGTATTGATTAAAATTTTGAGGTAAAAAGCTCAAGAGGATAAGAATGGAGTATAGAATTTCACAGGAAAAACAACAAGATATCGTTACAATATTACTAACAATAAAGGGATAAGTGTACCTTACTGACAAACTAATTCAATTGAAAACGGAGAGTATTGGATTTTATGCGAAATTAAAGACATAAGGATTGGTAGCTAAGTAGGAAATAAGTAAAACATAATAATATTTAGTTAATTAAACGCTTAAAATGAATAAAAAAGACAAAACTATAAAAAAAATAGAATGAACTTGATCAACTCTTAAAATAACGATGAGAAAGTGATTATTTTTACTAATCAATATTATGGAAAATAAATAGGACTGAAATGTATATAAGATTTTTAACATAAATTATGAAATTTTCAAGGTGACTGACTTATAGACAGACCTCTTGAGAGATATGAAATCAAAGAAGTATTTGCATAAGTATGGTTGGATACAACGCATTCTTCAACGAAACCTCGTAATTATAACGTTGATCTTTTAGTATTAAAACTTTGAATTTTTGCGTGATAAATTAATACTACTTAAATACTGATTGATTAAAAATAAACCAGCTTTACTTTCTTAAGATTATTTTTTAGTATCAATGGTATAATAAAGTATTTCCTGTTGATTCGATAATATAAAGTTCACTAACATTTCAAATAAATAATTATGCAGCATTTTACATGTAATTACAATAATTAACAGTATTAATACGTTTTAATTATCTAAAGTATATAATGTAATTAAGTTCATATTGTCCTAGGATATATAACATAACACTGATCAATCCTCCCTCTTTTCATTCTAATCTCCTTGTTGTTTGATTCAGTTCGAAAAAAAATTATTAACAGTAGTATTATCAAGTAATTATAATATGTATCATAAAAAATGATCATTTTATGTATAATTTACAATATCACATGAAGATTTTATTGGTTCAACTGTCATAGAGTAGAATATATGTAGATGAAACTTGAATTTATGCTTAATTACCCATTAGCTTTAATATAACCTTCAGAGTAAAATTTACAAAACTTAATTATTTTAAATAAACATGTGAAATATAATGCTGTAAAGTGTAAAATAAAGTAATTTGATTATTAACCGAATAATCCACTTCACTTTCACTGTTAAAATTACTAACCAGATAAAATAAATTAGAGGAGAATTAAATTTCTTTTGTATAAAGTATTTCGTTTTGTATTTTTTTTAGTTACATAATAGAGACCCTCATATTGAATTTTTTCCTAAAAAAAAAACAACACATATTGTGATTACTTATCAGTGCTTACAATGAGTACAATTTTTCTCCAAGTACTTAATCAATATTACTTAATAATACATATACCCACATACAAATTGTAAAGATATATTAAACAGTTAACTCGAGGATAAAATACGTTTGTTTCAAATTGTTGTTTTGTTGCCTTTATTGGTAGATAGAAGACAACGGTGATAAAATGTTTAACAAAATGTCATGTATTCTTATCGAATAAAAACTATTTAATTAGGACCATCATATGATGAAAAAAGACAACCGACATGTTTTTTATATTATACAGTAAACAGATAAACTGAAAACTAAGGAATACTAACACTACTGAAAAGTATTATTAGTTATTTCACTTATAGTTTACAACATCGAACTTAGGCTATTTCCCAGGATTTAACAATGTTCATAATAGGTTTTTGATTTAAAAGTGTAACAACTCGTACTGACATCAGTTTCGTACCAAGTTATAGTTATTTGAGTTTTTTACGAGTTGAACAGAAAGCAACAGTTCTCGTAACCGTTTCAAATAGAAATAAAAAAAACCAAGATGCATAGTGTACTTTAAACATATCCTTACCATTTCGTTAATTACGTCTTCGTATACTGACATCTGAGTAGAATAACAACTTTTGATACTCATTCGTTCAACGTTCTAATCTGTCCACGATTGACTGATTCAATATGTGCTTCACTTACCTACACTTTCATAGAGCTTCAAAACCCAATAAACTGATTTTAAAAATCTAGATTCCCTCACTTAGTTATTCCACCAAACCCGAAGCCCGCAAGTACTGGGGATCGAATCCATGAGTTATGTTTTTTTAACTTACAAACCCAAGTTTGATAATTATTAGTCACACGAAGCAAATGAATACAAGTTATTGAATCTTATTTCTAACAAACGCTGATGATGAAAATAAGGCATGGTATGGAGGACATAAATTAACTACAACTAATCTCAACGTTGCACAAATATCATATGAAATTATGAACAGATTTGGTGTAAGAGAATCCTAGAGCCACATCCTAAATTTGATAAATTCGAATTTTATTGACAGAAAAAAAAACAGATACTAAGTTTCTAATATCAAACAAGCTTACAAAAGTATTTGACAATAGAACTATAAGAAACATAATACACCAGAGTGATATGGTTTTTATTTACTGAATCAAAACAGTACAAAAGCTTCAATTTGACTTCAGTTACAAATATACATACATAGTAAATTGTATATCTTATTAGTGTTAAGATGAAGATGAGTTATTCAAATTTATAAATTAAAATATATATTTAAATAACAGTCGTTCCCTATGTTTATAGAATTCAAAATGTGATCGACTAATGTAGTATGTAATGATAACAAGGAAAACAATGAAGTATAAACCCAACGAATTTTGACATTTTTCTAATCAACAATCGAACAACTGTATATATCATCGTTTAAAGCAGTATTATGCATTTTTTAGTTTTATTTCTTAGATCATTTTTACATCGGTCTTTTGAAACTTCCCATTGATGTTCAGGACTAGAATTGATCAGCTTCTTATTGATATATACCCATCCTGTGAAGACGACCTCGATATTACCTTAAGTTACAAGCATTATAAGAGACTGGTCGATTTCAGCCCTAAACATCAATAGGAAGATTTAAACAACCAATACGAAAACGAAGTCAGCTTCACCCCATTGTACAGGCTAGTGGCCATCAGGACTCATGAGCTAAGTGGATAATGTGATAGCGTTTGGGGCGAAAGATACTGGGTTCGAGTCCTGGAGTGAACATCAACTCTGAGATAGAGGTACAACCAGATGAAGAGCCTGAGATTGGACGAAACGCGTGTCCTGAGTGCCACTGCTAGTTACCATCATCTCTGCATATAATGCTTGCAGTCTTATCTCTTGTTGTTTTTTCAAGTTCCCTGCTATTTTTATCGCGAGCTTTTTATTATATGTAACTAGTGTTAAAAATTTCAACGTGAGAAATATCCTGTTTAATCTCTTACAGCTACCTTTCAAATTGTCTGCCAGAGGCTTCAGTATTCAAAACTGTATTAAGGGAAGACAGTAGACATAATTTATCGTTAAAGACATTATGTGAGATGGTTCCAAATTGTCATAGTGATATTTATTTTTTTGTGATCACTCTTTATTTGCACTCTTAGATCTTGTTTATTCCTTTTTGAAATACCAGCATTCCATTTGAAATCGGTACTAAAATTTCTATTACTCTGCTCCTCATCTTATTGTAGTTATGCTAAGGCTGATATATATTTATACCGGATTCTACGCTGTTTAAGATTAATTAACATTGTATAGATATAAAAAGAGAGAGAATAATACGTACCTGAGTCTTTGTCGATAAATTTATGTCTGTACAAAAAGTCCAAGGCAACCATAGCAGAATTTGATTTGAAGTGTTCTTCAAATATTAGTTGTTTAATCTACAAAGAACGTTTAAGTAAAAATAATAGGAAATATAAATGTTATATGATAGGCAACAATTTCAATGTCATAAGCCTAATGACTACGTATGTTTTGACACTTATCAGCATGACGTATCTACAATGTTGAGAAGGATAACTCTCACTATGAAATTTAAAATGGCATTAATTATTGTCCCAGTAAGATAGGTCATCAATAAGCTAACCATGTCAAATAAAGTATAACGTGATATGATCGATAAAATCTGATTAGCATTAAAAGACCAGACAAACATGATATTGGTTACTTATCAGTGATCAAATAGCGTTGACAATTTCTAAGGAATTCTCTATCATGTCAGAATTAATTTCGGATTAAAAGACTATTCATTCGTGATTATCACAGAGGCTTTGTCAAGACGGAAAACTGCCTGAATGTGAATGAAGATGTTGAACATCAAAACAAACATGATAATTATTTGAAACTTTAATTAAATAAGTAATCTGACAAACTTTTTTGCATTTGTGAAATTAATCAACATTGTAATACACAATCCAAACATGAAAATTTTTTACTGTGGGCAGGGTTAAGTTCAAATATGTAAATCACACACATCGAGAGCTAGAAATAACACTATCAGATAGTCTGTTTCTTTCGAAGTAGATAGCTGGTTGAAAATTCATTGTTTAAATAAATTAGCGATTATTTTACTTCAGTAAATTTCTACAGCTGTTAGGAGTTGAGAACTTGATATATCACTTCTGAAACAATAGGTTGTTTTCATGTTATACCGTCAATGCGAATTAAAGGCAAATAGTTTTCTTCTGAATGTTAGAAGTTCATTTACGTGCATCAATTGAATCATAAATGCAAAATTTATGTTTCAGTGTAGCATCTAGAACAAATTCAAGAATATTTTAAATCAAAAATCAAAAGTAACCAATATTCTATAGTCAGAATGGAGATTTGTGGAGACTGTAGTAATTTTAATAGTTGAGTTCATGATTCGATCTAAGTTAGACCACTAATGAAGTACTGGATGACCGTTTCATCCTAGTATGGAACTCCTCAACAGTGCATACCCATGATCCCACACACGGAACTCGAACCCATGTCCTTTGGTCTCGCACGCAAACGCTTAACCTCTACAACACTGAGCCGTCATCCAACTATGTTAATGTCTAACTTCAACCGATCCATGATCTTGCACAACCCTTTATTCATTGTGTAATGGGGATAACTGTCTCCACCAGACACAGATTGGACTCTACTGGTCACGGCTTCTCACTAGAACTCCAGGAAATCCATCATGACGTGGGTACTAGTGAGCACATGATTATTTTATGGAAATTTGAAAAATGAACAACTTGAAATAACTCTCAATAATGCTTCCGTTAATACAATAATATGTAATCTCAGTGAAATACTCATATTATCATTATTATATTCTGCAATCAGATTCAGTTACTATACATAATTTTGCGGTTAATCAGACCTACCAAATAAATGAAAAATCTGCAGTAGGAAAGTTTAATTGTTTAATCGAATTACAATTTATACAAATCATAAGTATATATTTATACGATTGTCCTTCTGACCCAGACAAGAACAAGTAAGATAAAACCTCAACCAGTTGAACAGTTAGCTTTTTATAATAGCATGCCTTGTTCATGATCTATCAATTACTGTCTGACCTGTAAACGTCACGTAAGCTTTACTAAATTGCACTTGTAACTAGGCTTAACAGCAGAACTTGACTAAGTCACAGATATAGCATGCATTTTACATGAAGATAATTGGTAATTAAACTTTTTCGTTTCTTTATCAGGCTATATATATATATATATATATATATATATATATATATATATATATATATATTCCTGAAACTAAGCCGAAAGATTGACTACTAGACTTCTACTCAATGTTTTGAAAGTACTGGAATTCTCATGAGCCCTTACGATTATGTTTTTTCTTGTGTATGTGATCTTAGTTGCATACTACTACTAGCATATCATTGGCTAGTACAAATACTTCTTAGTTCTCTTTCTCTGAAAATTTAACTAGTTATTAGTATACGGAAAAGTAAAGATTGTTGAATTTTAGTCTATACTATAGACTGATCTTATTTACATAACTATTTAAAACCAGAAAACACTGAACAGCTGTTTCACCATAATGTAGGATTCTTTGATTGTATACATCAACAACTCAACCGAAGATCTGTTGGTTTTTTGAAATATGTGTACGACTGCAGCCTATTGTAATTTCCTAATCATGTAAAAATGATAATCTTTTAATACGGAGAAAACTAATGAGAGCTCGATAGGCCGTGAATCTAACATACAACAACGCTGCGAAGTTAATAATCCATGTATCAATAGAATATAGAGAAAATAGGACCTAAGAATGCTTTATATTCCCCAAAAAAGCCAAAACTGAAATAGAGCAACTTTGTCTATAGCATATAGTCCAATGACCTTGGGACGCGCAACAAAGTTAGCAAACTAAGAGTAATAACGCCCAGTTAGGTAACAGTAAAGTTAATTGAGGAAATATGAATCGGAGAATGCTACCAAGGTCATCCTTCAAATAACGAAAGAAGTAAACATAATAATAATAATAAAGCCAGATAGCTTAATGTTTGCCGTAGCAAATTGAAGTTAGTGCCCTTAGACTACTGATTAAATCTTTTACTGTCTTTGTGTAAAGAAAGCAAGTAAACAATTTTATGAATTATCAGTGCTCTTTTTTCAGTTTTTCACTGATCACAAATTATTCTTGTCGTAATATTTAGTTACATTTTGTTTATTTCAAAAATTTGTTTTTCATAGTATCATGACGTAACGTTTAATGATTGTCTCTTTTTTGGGTTTAAATAATCTGAGTATTGAAATATTCGTCTACTGTTTTTTTCAGCCTACTAGTAAATATACTGAAAAATAAACACAACTCTAATAGCATGTGTTATCCTTTATCATAATTTTTGTATGATTATCATCATCAATTGAATGAACAACATATATTTATACGTTAAAAATTGATAAAAACCGAATTTGCTTTATTCAAATAGATTCTTGACCTTTTTGAGACAGACGAATGTTGTAGAAAAAATGTATTCATAACTTTCAGCATATGAGTAGAGTGAATTACACTACTTATTACTTCGTTAGACAATCATATATGTATAAAAGAACAATTTATTGGATAGAAGACCAACTGAAATTTCAAATATAAGCCATTGAGTACTATCGAAGTGATTTAAAGGCACCTGAGAGCGCAAAACTCATGAGACTTTGAAGTCCTGAGATTCATTTCTAACGAAGTCATAAATAGCTATTGCTGGCGATTACCTATACTAGGGACAAAACAACTGTTCAGTGTCCTACGGTTGGTTACTTAAAGTCAGTCCTTTATATTCAATACTTTTAAATCGAACAGTTTCCAAACAAACATTTTTGATTTTATTAATTGAAACTTGCATAAAAAGTGATAACTTGAAATGTATGAGAGGAAAAATACACTTTGAGATGTTTCATGGGAATCTTGTACAGATTTCTTCATAAATTGGTGTGAATTATAAAGTATTCTTACTAAATATATGTAAATAATAGGGCATAAAAATGAAGCAACTGTAAGTTGAGAAAACAAGAGAAACATTTTTAGAGTGAAAGTAAATTAGTGTGAAATTCATTGGTTTTTCGAAACATAAAGAAAAAATTATGTAAATAAATAACATAATTGCACAAAAACATTTAAAGACTTTATAAGTCGATTGTTTTCTCATCTTAGAACACACAATGCAGACAAGTAATAAACACAAAACAAAAACGGATCTTCAGAACTTTATGATTCTTAACATATAAGCATTCTCAGCTGATATCAGTTTTTCATGCCAACAATCTGAAAGTTTATTCTTCTCAAATGCTTATATATATCAAAGCTTGTAATAAGAAAATGATGTACGTTAAAGTATGCTTATTTCACTGAATGCTAAAAGTTTACTTTAATAAGAGAAAAAAATACTTATCAAAACAAATTCTTTCCTTTGATTTTCTCTATTCAATAGCTTGTTGTTGTTGTTGTTATTATCGTTGCAACTTTTAAAAAAAAATATTCTTAACAGACTGATTGTAAAATCTACAACATTTAGAGGTAATATGTGAATACTAAAGAAAATATAATGTTACCTTTTATCGGAAAAAGGTCAACTGGAACTTATTCTATACACGTATTAAGAATATGATTATTTCTAATATCTTGAATTATTTTCCTTTTAATTTGACGTTTGTGTGTTATGTTTCCGTATTTTAAAAGAACAATAAGTTATTATTATTTTTTTCATTATTGTTACTATTATTATTATTATTATCAGTAGTATTATTAGTATTTTTATTATGAAGTACACAAAAATCAAAACAACCCAATTGTAATCATTGTTCAATGATGAAATGATAACAATACGCATTCAATAATATGAATTATTAACTAAACTATTATTGTTGTTGTCTAATAATTAAATATTATTTTAAAGAGTATAAGCATATAAAGAGCATTTATTTATTGTATGAAAGTAATTCACTAAAACAAAGTTGAAAATTTTCAATAATTATAATTTTAAAAGACTAGTATTTGAACGAAGAATATTCTTTTCGATAAATTCTCTTCAGGTTCTACAATTATATATCCAAATAAATAATCCGAAAAATGGCCAGTTTAAGGGCAAAGTACATCGTTTAAAGCATGTGAATTTAGGATTGTGATAAATTATAATTTTCTGATAATGGGACAAAGTGATTAAAGGTGATGAATCCGTTTTAAATAATTTACGAAGTGATAGAAATATGCATCTCTGTCCAAATTGTTACAATTTACGTTAATATATCCAAGGTGTAAAATCAATGAGATGAAGATTAAGAGAGTCAATATGATATTAACATCAATAACAGTAAGAAATCTCAAATAGTAAATATTGCGAAAATACTGAATATATCAAAGAATGAGAAGTAAGACATAATCCTTAAACTGAACATTACTTATAGGCATCAACTACTACCTATCATGAGTACCTGACGAACTGTCATCATCTTCCCTTCCAACCTACCAGGTAGAACTATAAACTTTTAAAAATATTTTTCAATAAAAAGAGAACACAACAAAAGTAAAGGAGAAAATGTATAATTATCCACTAGCTAAAATTATTTATAATCTTAACATTTGAATAGTGAAGTAATTAAACATCTTTTTAATGAAAGTACAACACATATACACATTACCTCTGATATACTGGCTAATCGGAAACTATCCACTTCACCATCAGAGCTAACAGGGATAAAATCTGGTGGTAATTCCAGATCGAAACAATATTCAATTTGTGGGCAAACACCGCGCTCATCTTCAAAAATATAACTGATTTAAAAAAATGGAATTCAAATAAAAACAGAGAATAATTTCGTCGATTTTTTAGAAGAATTGGAATAGTTTAATTCAATAGTCAAACTTAGAGATGATATTGAAGTTGATGAGTAGTTTAATCGCTATACCACAAAAATCGATAAAAGTTGAACAAGAAAATGTTAAATAATTCAGCAAAATGTAAATTCCAGCTAAAACGAACCATATTGAACATGAAAAGTAAATAAAATATTATACAAAAATAACATCAGTTAGCTCTTAAAATCGATTGTATATAATTAAAAGCAGAATCCAAATATTTGACAGTAAGTTAGCAGAAATTTTGCAACATAGATTAAATGTTTGCAGGTACTCATCTGCGGAACATATACTTATGAACATGAGTAATCTAATGCTGTCAGTTCAGGAGTAAGAGCACATCACATATGATGATACAGTTAGAAACTACTACTGAAGCGTAAATACTTCCTACATAAATCAGGTGAAATATGACAGAAAATAAAGTTACTGACTTGAGTTCTAATCAGACCCTCCTAATAAACATGCGTTAGTGAAATTACTACGGAGGTATTTTTTAAAAAAAGCAGTAGTGATTAACAGTAATTTTGCTATAACTATTTCATTTCATTATGTGATTAACAACCTTTCAAACAAAAGTAACACGACAATGAAGTCACTACCAATGTTGCTGGTAAGACAACACATGAAAATTCATATTAAAGAGAATCATATTCATTTTATCAACTGTACTTCATAAATTTCTATAGGTTCTGTATACTAAAATATGCAATATACTTGAAGATGTAAGGATTTTCTCAAACAGCCAGCGGCTTAATAAAAAGAAACAGAAATGAACTCGAACATATGACCAAAGTAGTCATTTAGTTAGTCAGTAATAATCAACATAGAACTTTTATTGTTCTACGTTGCTATGCCACAGTAGAAAGAGGAGATGAAAATAACAAGATAAGTAATTACAGTGATCGAAATAATAGAGTAGCAATGGTAGTAAAAAACAATATTGAGAATATGATTCTAAAAGACAAAGTGAAAAGGTATGTATGAAGGAGTACCAGAATTCAAGATAAAGAGTAAATGCATCTACGTCATTGTGAACGATTCTTAGACATTACATAGCTTTTAAAATAAATCAGTAGTTTTTAAGGTATTTATAACAACTTCTACAGCAAGTGGAGTGAAATTCCATTGAAAAACATATCATTTTATCAATAAGATTTGTGAAATTACTACATCTAATTAGTTTAAGTAAGCAAAATTTCTACAAAAGAAAAAGATAAGTTCAGTAAATTTTGTAATAAGTTCTAATAAAATTAATTGATCAATTTAAAAGTTAATTTAACGAAATATGGAAGGATAGTAACACTTTAACCTTCTAAATGTTATAACATAGTAGTTACAAGAGGGATGAAAAATTAACAAAAAAATATATAATTCAGTTTATTTGAAAAGACTTTGTAGAGAATATTTTAATTTGTAGGTAGTATTAGTCGTAAATCGATCTCACTTGTAGTACAGTTGAAAACCAGAGAGCATTGGAGAACTGTTTCGAACTAATGTGAAACTCCACAATATGCACTTACGATCCCATAAAGGATTAAACCTGGTTATTACTGGGTCTTAATAGTTAAGCATTTGTTGTGAGGTTTGAAAATCCCTGGTTTGGTCTTTCATGAGGTTGTGAGTGAAAAATGGTGAGAAGTTTCGTATCAGGACGAAACAGCTTTTAAGTGCTTTCAGGTTTTCAACAGTGCGCAAATAAGATCAATCTGTGATAAATACGTAACATTACTCAGTTTAGTTTAAAATACTATTTTCATTTTTACAATGTTTACCGGATTTTAAACAATTAAAATTCGCATTTAAATCCTTCTTCGGTTTATTTAGCCAGATGATATCATTAGTTCTACCATTATATCAAAAGGTATGGGGCTCAAAGTCAAGTTGTGCAAATGTTTCCATGTATACCGATTTTCTAATATACGCAAACTTGGGAGGATAAGCTTTGAACAATAATTTTGTTAATATTCAGTAATGATGTGAATAAAGAAACGAAGAAAGCCATGACAAACAACGGAAGCTATTTCGGAGACGTTATTTCACTTAATTCAAAGTTTGTAAAATACTTACATTTAGTTTTGCCCCTAGGTTGTTTTATAAACCGTAAGCTTTCGTTTGATGTATGATTCAATGAAATATCCTTTTCTGTTCAAAATCTGTTGTAACTTAGACATAACCTTTGGTACCTTATCTTGACACCTTAATGCCCAGTTTGGATATGATTGAGTTTTTCTAATTGTTTGTGCACTGTAGTCATGTTAGCCATCTATTTATTCATGTATCTTTTTACATTGGTCTGAATCGGGTAGTGTTCCAGTTGACTTGTCTTTTCTCTCGTGCGCTTGTTAACCAATAAGGCCATAAAATGGTTCCCATTTCTCTCCAAGGCCATTAGTCTCAAGTTGGACTCAAGCATTTTCTAGCCTCAAGGTTAACCTCAGTTAGCCTATCGTATCAAGGCTTTAACTTAGTACCCGTATATTATTAGGTAGACATCAAGGACATAACAAGTAATGTCTAAGAAGTCTCTCTATTTGTCTGACCAGTTAAAACATAAAACCAGTCAGTCGTAAGCAATGTAGAACCAGCCACACTTGTGCATCGGTTCAAGCTAACACACCATATGAGTAAAGAGAGATGGAGTTGTCACAATAAATCCAAGAGGTAAAATTAGTAATACTTTAAGTGGTGGCATGAAAGATAAAGCATAAACAATTTGAACTCCCTGGAAAGGTAGGATCTAAAGTAAAAAGTGTTCCAATCAATATAACTCGGCTGAGTCAACAAGTTTGGTAAGCTCGACATCTACATCAAAGTTAAAGCTACGATCGGGAATAACATACTCTTCCTCTAAATGCCAAAATATTGTTTCAGGACTGATCTGAATCAACGACTGAACCAATAATAGGGAGTAGAGCAGTTGAGAGCGTCTACCAGGTCACTTATCTTGGAAATATCATCAACCCTGGTGGGCTTGTGTCTGACAAAATCTTGGCATGGACTCAGATGACCCGGCTGGCGCTTGCCAACTTGCATAAGTTGTGGCTTAAGCGAAATGTTTCCCGTGCGTGTGTGTATTTGATTCTCCCATTCACTCACAAAGGCTATTTTCGCATTATCATACAGATATAATGTGGAAAAAATTGTGATTATTCACAGAACTCTTTCCTATTTTTTCCTATCTAAAAATATATTATTGCTTGATTTAGTTATCTCACAACAGTATAATGTGTTTCCGGATTCCTCATACTTCTGTGTGATGCTTTAAAATATCGGTTTCTTTTAATTGGGTTCTTTTTACTATATTAATGGAATTAAAGCGAAATTTTTAGTCTATTATATATTTGTACAAACGAATCTTCTGATTAGTACATTGACTGACCTTGAGATTTGATCTACTTTGATCAATTATTATTAGTCAATATGATCATATCCTTAAGGTTAGAAATTTAGGTCAGTACAAATAAAATAAAAATACCAGAAAAATCGAATGACCTAGAAAGGGAAACGAATAAGCAGTCAGGATGATATTCGTATTGCGCAATGATTTAAGACGATTCAGTCGCAAGACTATCATGAAACATTACTTTTTAGCCAATTGGTAGAAAAATATGTATTGTATTAAGTCGGATAACAACAATAGTAATAATATCAATCATTATCATTAAAAAACTAATGGCAACTAGAACATTTGTTAACCAATTACGTTGCTGAAACAATTTTAAAGTTTATTGATTGGAGAATTAGTACTGGTCACATTCAAAGTGGATTACTTTACAAGCTAAATAAGCAATGAAAACCAGAATAGAGTGAAATGTTCTTGTGTATCTATAGCATTGTAGGGACTAATCGTTAATACGAATAAAATTCCAAATATAATTGAAACTAAACCTTTCAGGCACAATCAAGAGATTATTATCTATTGAACTGTTGAATTTAATTCTGATGGCTGAAAATTTTTTAAAATCAAATCATTTCCATATCATCATAACTTAACCTCTTTTAAGAAGGATGTTATTAGTTTAGCGAATCTCTACAGTTGTCCATGAAATCAATAACTTAAGTATTTTAAGCTGAAACTGTCAATGGTGAAATTCTTTCGAGTTATTTCAACTAAAATAATCGAAATATTCAAACCTATAGAAGAGTGTAAATATTAGTATATTATCATTTATGTATAACAAAACAATATGGTTTGAAATCATACAAAGACTATCATAAGTAACCTTAACTAAGACATTATAACATAACCTGTTACAGTCATTAAAAAATGTTCACTTTATCAATTTTTTAAAAAAAATACAACACATTAGTGAACAACATTAATTATTTATATACTTAAGAACAATGACCGGTAAGTTTTATCAGTTAAAACCGACGCAATCCCCCCCCTCGCACATAGGTCAGGTAACTTGACACAAAATTAGAAATTGGTAAAAACCAGTAGACATTAAAAAAACAAACAGGCAAATTATGCACTATTCATCAGCTGACTAGTTCAGTTTGTTCATAATGACATATTATAATGGTACATACACAAAAAATTAATGTAACTTCAAAAAGGAAATACAAATTAAAATAAATACATAAATATATTATAAGACTTTAATAAATTAACTGGGGTTACTTAGAGTTATTACAAATTATACACATGACTTTACAAATGTGCTTGTTACTTGACCTTAAAAATTGAATACCAGTGTACATTTATACTTTAAAACCTATAAGATACTTCGAATAACAATAACAGTAATGAGTAATAATAGTAATAATAATAATAATAATAATAATAATAATAATAATAATAATAATAATAGTAAAAGAGCTAATAGCGAAGATTAAATAACACGAGGGTTTGAAAGCAAGTGATCTGTTTCCAGTCATGACCACGAACATATGAAAAGATTATGGTAATAAGGTGATGATGACGTAATCGACATATTTGTGATACTATTAAAGTAACTTAACGACTACTTTATGATAGATTAAGGTTATTGCTACAGGATCACGTTTATTGCGCATGTATGACTATATGTAATTCTGAAAACACCAATCATTAAAATTCTTTAGAGGTATTATCATTTTATCGGTGTATATACCTTACTGACTGAAATAATTACATCTCCTTGGTAGAATTGGCGTTAGTTTGAAACAAATGTTGCTAATCTCCTCAAATATGATTAAGTAAAGAGCCTGTATTATAGTTCAAGTTAAGTCTGACCGTATCATTATAACTTCTAAAACAATGTTTCATATTTATATTTATTGAATTAGGTTAGTAAACACAGTATCTATCGATGCTAAGTAATGACCATAAGAGAGGTAGAAATAATAAGTCGACATATAATTTTTTTAAACTGTACTAACATGTGAATACAGTGATATAGTAGCTACCTACTTAACTAATAAAATGTATACATGCAGAGAATTGACGACAGGATACATAATAGAAGAGAGACCTGCATAAGCGAGAAATCTTAAACTAAGATAAACGAATATTTAGTCACTTCTAGTATTTTATTTATTTATTTAATAAGAACTTATCTCGAATTTACTCATCTCTTAAGATAAACCGGTAGCACATCCAAAATCTTACTCCACTAGATTGAATAATCACATTTGTTTTTTACTCACGCTTGTTTTATTGCAAACGTTTGTCGGTTGTATTCATTAATAAAAGTAGGTACATCCTCTTATGGGCTTCCAGAGTCGTCGACCTATTTTTTCTTTTTTTTTAGTTTTTCTAACATAAGCAGCTCATCACATTCCTTCCCTCCCCTCAGTACACAATGTCACTTCAGGCTTAACAGAAACCTACAAAAGGTTAAGCTTTATACATATAATCAGTTTCATGCATAAGAAACTTAGTTGATAGAAAACGATCAGCACTTGACATTAATGAGGGGAACATGACACTATTCATTACACAGTGACTGATCAATGAAAATAACTCAGTCCCATTGGAAATAAATGATAACCCGAATAACTATGGTAATGTATTCAATGTAACGCCGCATGATCCAGGTTTGAATGTTACATACAACATCAGTCCCGTCAACACTACAAGTACACCTTGTTGGAGAGGAGTACAAGCTAGAATGAAACGTTGGTCTAGTCTAGCGTTTCCTGTCGACTATCTCCAACCATCTGATATTCAAACTATCTGAGTTTTTTTTTAAAATACATAAAAATACAGAAAACTAAAATATTACTAATTTATTGAGTAAAAAAAGTATTTTCATCAATAAACTAAATAAAATGTAATATTCTAATTCAAAATTAATTTTTACAATATATAAAGACAACTTACCTGATTTGATTTACAAGGGTTAGTTTACCAAGCATATGCTCTGGTACGCTTGCTTCCTCTTGACACTCTTTACGAGCACATTCCATTACATCTAGACCATATGTTAAACCTCCAGCAGCCTGAATGTAAGTTTGGACAACAACAAAAAAGTATTATGTTATCCTCAAATTAAGTAGATCGAAGCTGGTTACTTATAAATGAGTTGCTTACATCTAGAGCGTGAAATTTCAAAGATTTTTCGGAATAAAGTTATCCATTCATATAGTTCAGTTCAAATGTATTGAATAAGTTGTTTTTTATTACCTTCTTTATGAGTTAGAAAAATCTGTATCCATAATTGCTCATAATTCATAATGTATAATAAAGCCGATAAGTAGTCACCGAAAATACTGATAATATGTAGATAAGTAGATAAATAGATGAACGTACAATATTTCGCTATTCTAATTTTTACTTACTTTTACTTACGCCTGTTACGCCTAATGGAGCATAGGCCGCCGGACAGCATTCTACAACCCACTCTGTCCTGGACCTTCCTTTCTAGTTCCATCTAATTATTTGTCATTTTTCTCATGTCTATCTCCATTTCCCGGCGTAATGTGTTGTCTAGTTTTCCTCCTTTCCTTTGGCCTTGAGGATTCCATGTGAGGGCTTGTCTTGTGACGCAGTTCAGTGATTTCCTCAATGTGTGTCCTATCCACTTCCACAGCATCTTCCTGATTTCTTCTTCCGCTGGGATATGGTTTGTTCTCTCTCATAGTACGTTGTTGCTAATAGTGTCCGGCCAACGGGTCCGAAGTATTTTGCGTAGACAACTGTTAATAAACACCTGTATCTTCTGGATGATGGCTTTCGTAGTTTTCCATGTTTCCGCCCCATACAGTAGAACTGTCTTGACATTTGTAATGAAAATCCTGACCTTGGTGTTGGTTGACAATTGTTTTGAGTTCCAGATTTTCTTCAGTTGTAAATATGCTGCTCTTGCTTTGCCGATCTGCGCCTTCACATCTGCATCAGATCCACCATCTTTATCAATGATGCTGCCCAAATATGTAAGGGTTTTTACATCTTCCAAATCTTCTCCGTCAATTGTGATTGGTTTGGTGTATGCTGTGCTGTATCGGAGAATCTTGCTTTTCCCTTTGTCTATATTGAGACCTACTGCTGCTGAGGCTGTTGCTACACTAATCGTCTTCTCCTGCATTTGCTGTTGAGTTTGCGATAGAAGAGCCAGATCATCTGCGAAGTCTCGGTCGTCCAACTGCAGCCTAAATGTCCACTGTATCTCGTGCTTTCCTTCAGATGTTGACGTGTTCATGATCCGGTCGATCACCAGGAGAAATTTAACTCATTTTAAATGGTGAAGAAAACTAGAGGTCTACTTCTAAATAAAACTCTTGTATTTTGTTTGATGTAAAAAACATCCTGAACTGTCTCAGACGAAATATTAAAAAAAATTTTTTAACACCATTTAAACAATGACCGTTGTATATAGATGGGTCAAAGGACGACTATGTAATGCATTATTATTATTATTATTTCAAAGCTGGATAACCAAGAATAGAGGTAATACACTTTTAAAAAAACAAAACATAATAATCGATATGCATGGAATTCAGTGATCAGTTACAATCCAACAACAAAAGTACGAAACTTAGTTTTCGACTATGGATTGGAACTCCTAGAATTACATCACACTTAGGTTTTTACAACTTCAGTCTACTTAATCACTATCAGAATGGACAAAAATCTCGATTTTATCAGAATATGTAAAAAACTCGAGTTTATCATCAAATGAAACTGTTATGTAATTAGTTAGTGATTTCTTACCTAATCACATACGGTTATGATAAATCTACGTCACACATAACACTATTAATATTTTACGGAAATATTCAATAAATCTACCTTTCCGAAAAAATCTAAAAGAACTTTCAAAAAAGTCTAATCTTTCAAATTCATGACTACATTCGTTTTCGCAGATACTTTCCCATCAAGTGCAAAATTTCGCTTTAGGATTGGATTGCCCCAGCACCCGGATTAACAATAGGAAATGAGGTAGTTGAGTGTAGTGACCAGGTCACTTATTTCGGGAGTCTTACTAGTCATGACAGGCTGGTTCCTGAAGAAATCTCGGTATTGATTCAGAAAGCTGGATTTGCTATTGCCAACTCGCATCACCTGTGCATAGGTGAGATATCCGTCTGTCAACCAAAAACGAGCTTATCGCGCAACAGTTTTCTCCGTTCTACTTTATGGGTATGAAACATGATCATTAAAAATAGATGAGTCATTGACAGTTGGGTTGAGCCATGTTTACACGTAGACTATCTGGTCGGGTTTTACATGATTATCGTAACCAGTGGTTGAAGACGTGCAATGAAAAGGCTGAAAATCGTTTGTAATGGCACAGGTGTATCCATTCTTTATCTTCCTCCAGATCCTAAGCTTATGAATTCCTCATAGTTTTGTTTATTTCACTAATTTATATTTCCTTGGGTCGTATCTTTGATGCGTAATCTTTTTTACTACCATTATTACTGTTCATACCTCTACTGCTCTATGAATTGCCCTAATAATTTCATATCGCTGTGCTGATGACGTATGACAATTTAAACCAATGTACACATGTACGATGTTCCATGTTGTGTTTGGCCGGCTGTAGATAGTTTTAAATTAGTCCAATTATTAATCATTTATATTATTCACTATATTCGGATATTAACCTAATAACGAGTAGTAAAACAAAAATATTTGCTTTTTGTGAAGGATTTTGTTTTCTTGTTGGTGATGACAAGTATCGTGACTGGTTAGTTGCAAATGGTGCATGTACATCATAGCGGATTGTCTCCGTACTGCCACATAGTCAATTAGTTTTAGCGAAATTGGGTTAGGGCTATATGGGACTTGACAACTGGATATGTACCTGCATCCCAGAATTGATGTTCACACTACGGTTCAAACCCAGTAACCTTCTGCTTCTAACTTCAAGAGGTTATACACTCAACTAATAAATTTAAATAAGCTGAAACATAGCTCCTAGATTCCAGCGCTAGCCAATAACGAATATTTACTAAAAACATGTGCTTATAATCTAGAGTATTAAAACATAAACACACCGTAAAAATGAACAACATATTCAAATGAATACTATGATTATTGATTTGACACTAATTGCTAAACATATACAATATATTTGAAGGCTTTGTAAAATTATTAATTGTATCTAATAAAAAGAAAAGTCTTTTGTTGGTCGATTTGAGTAGAGAATAACCTTGTTAGATGTTGTTGTTGTTATCAACCTATTATAAAATTTAGCACAACAGAAAATTTCACACAATATATTACGGTGGAAAATAATAAGAAAAGAAAATTACGAATTATATATGAAAAAATGTATACAATCCATGTATATTTATAAAATATTCAACCAGTTATTGAAATACTTGCGAATAATTAGTCAGTAATTACTGTTGAGACTAGTGAGTGGCTAGAGAAACCTCATTACTTTTACCTAATATAGTGAAACAGGGTAGTTGTATTGATTATACTTGAGTGTCTTGACGTTTGGGATTATATATATATATATATATATATATATATATATATATATATATATATATATACCCTAGAAATATAAGGTAATAAAAAATATAATGTATTTATTGTATGATTACAAATACTGAGTTGATAAGTACAGGTTTAAATGATAACCATTAATTGTAAGATAGTCAATGCTCAAAAATGACCTACCCGTTTTATTTAAGATAATCTTATTTGACAGTGTACTAGATACAAAGTATCATAAAATATTTGAGTCTATTCAACTTTAACAACTCTGCCTGTAGGACTTCTAGGGTTAATGTATGTCCCAAGGGTTGGGTATGGGGTCAACAACCCAAACCCGTAGAAAGTAACCTTACTAAAAAACACTAACCAAAATAAAAATTTAAACCATTTAAACTCTATTCTCTGAGTTGAAGGATCTTCATTCAGAGAAATTATGACGCCTCAATATGAAAGCCGAGACCCTTCGGAAGTCACGAGGCCGATACCCCTTCTAACAACCAGAGCAACAATTAATATAGGTACATGAAATGTCTGGAAAATGTGGGAGACCTGGAGGACTATTCAAATAGCTACAAAAATGAGGAAATACAACTTGAAGATGCTCGGAATCAGTGAAATCCATTGGACCTAATCTGGACAGAAAAGGATGAGTTCGGGGAAGATGTTGCTGTACTACGGTCATGAAAAGGGAAATATTCCACACACTCAGGGAGTTGTACTGATACTGTCCAAACAATCCCGAAATGCACTTATAGGATGGGAATTTCATGGACCCAGAATCATCAAAGCATTATTGAAAACAAAGAAGGAGGGAATCACAATGAGTGTCGTCCAATGTTATGCACCCACCAACAATAGCAACGACGACAATAAAGATCATTTTTATGAGAGGCTTCAATCGATGATAGCGAAGTTTCCAGTAAAAGACCTGATCATCCTGATGAGAGATCTAAACGACAAAGTCGGAATGCACAACAACGGTTACGAAGATATCATGGGACGACATGGATTGGGAGAGAGAAACTAAAATGGTGAGAGATTTGCAAACCTAGATGCATTCAACGAATCGATTATAGCTGGCACAATATTCCCTCACAGACGCATACACAAAGCTACATGAATCTCGCCGGACCACACCATAGAGGACCAGATCGATCATATTTATATCAAGAAAAAATTCAATAGGACTATGTAAGACGTGAGAACCAGGAGAGAAGCTGACAGCTTCAGATAACCACCTGGTTGTGGCCAAAATGAAACTGAATCTAAAGAAACACTGAAAAACTGGGAAGACAACAGTACAAAGGTCCAATACAGCCTAACTTCAAGATACAGTCAAACTCAACGAATTCAAGATAACTCTCAACATCAGGTTACAAGCCTTACACGATCTACTGCGAGAAGAAACTACTATGGAGGACAACTAGAAAATGATGAAAAAAGCAGTAACTTCAACGTATCGGGAGGTGCTGGGTCGCAAGAAGCATCATCATAAGGAATGAATCTCTATTAATACCCCGGGCAAGAATCAAGAAAGGAAGAGCAAGAAGACGGCAATTAACAACAGCCGAACAAGAGCAGAGAAGGTCAAGGCACAAGCTGAATACACCTAAGCAGACAAGCAAGTGATGAGGTGCACTAGAATCGACAAGCAGAAATATGTGGAAGAGCTGGTAACGACAGCGAAAATGCTTCAAGAGAAGGAAATATAAGACAGCTATATGATTTAACGAATAAACTAGCAGGAAAATTTTAGTAAACTAGAGACCGGTCAAGGACAAAGAAAGCAGGACAATCACTCAGATTCAAAAGGAGAGGAACAGATAGGTGGAACACTTCAAGGAACTCTTAAGTAGGCCAGCTCCATTGAATCAACCGAACATCGAAGCAGAACAAAAACATTCCTATAGATGTCACTCCACCAAAGATCGGAGAAATCAGAATGGCCATCAAATAAATCAAGCGTGGGAAAGCAGCAGGACCTGACAATATACCAGTTGAAGCAATGAAGTTAGACATAGAAACACTTGCAAACATGCTCCATGTTTTATTCAGGAAGATTTAAGAGAAAGAACAAGTGTCGACAGACTGGAAAGAAGGATACCTCAACAAGATACCAAAGAAAGTAAATCTGAGCAAATGTGAGAACTACGGAGGCATCAAACTATTATCAGTACCAGGAGAGGTTTTCAACAAAGTGTTGCTGAAACGGGTGAAAGACTAAGTAGACACCCAACTTCGAGATCAACAGGCTGGATCCTGTAAGGATCGGTCATGAGCAGACCAAATCGCGTCACTATGAACTATCGTTGAACAATCATACACATAGTTCCCCTTATTATCTTAAAGAGAGAAAGAACGAAGATTGATTCAGAATAATATGAAGTCATTTTATTTCGTAGTTACATCATGATACATATATTTATCTTTAATCACCCTCTTATGTATAAGTATGTCAATATCTGTAATAACGTTGATTTTCAAATATTTTAGGTTGTAAGCAGGTGATGAGAACCTAACGAAATAAAATAAATTCATATTCTTCTGCACTAATCTTCGTTCTTTCTCTCTTTAAGTTGAACAATCAACTGAATGGAACTCGTCACTGTACATCAACTTTGACTATGAGAATGTGTTTGGCAATGTGGATAGGGAAACCTTATGGAAACATCTTCGAAACTATGGTTTACCTGAGAAAATCATCAACATCATCCGGAATTCATATGATAGACTACACTGCAAAGTGGTGCATGAAAGACAACTGACAGACGCGTTATAAGTGAAGACCGGAGTAAAACAAGGCTGCTTACCCTCTCCCTTTCTTTTTCCTCTGGTGGTTGACTGGATTATGAAGACCTCGACGTCTGACGGAAAGCACAGAATACAATGGAAAGCTTGCATACAACTAGACGATTTGGACTTCGCAGATGACCTGGCCCATACACACGAACAAATTCAAGATGAGCCAACTAGTGTAGTAGAAACCTCTGCATCAGCGGGCCTTAACATGCGCAAGGGAAAAATTCAAGATCGTGAAATACAACACAGAGAGCATCAATCACATCACATTTGATGAAGCTCTGTAATATGTGGAGACTTTGACGTACCTGGTCAGCATCATCGATGAACAAGAAGCGTCCGATGCAAACGTAAATGCAAAAATCGATAAAACAAGGGCCACAATCCTATAACTAAACATACGGAACTCAAAACAACTATCAATCAATATCAGTCAGAATCTTCAACCAGAACGTCAAGACAGTTCTAATATACGAAGCTGAAACTTGGAGACCTACCATAACCATAATCAAAAGGTACAAGTACTTATAAACAGTTGTTTACTCAAGATACTCAATGTCCATTGACTGGATACCATCCGCAACAGCCTTCTATAGGAGAGAACAGACCAGATAAGGCCAACGAACACTATCGGGAATTGAAAGCAGACATGAAGAGGATGAAAACAAATGAGAACAACTGGAAAGGGTTATCCAGGACAGAGCTGGATGGAGAATGCTGGTGGGTGGACTATGCTCCCTCATGAGGGATAACAAGAGTACGTAACTTTAAAACCACGCTTTACACCAAAACATTTAAAGCGATTGAAATATTTTTAGCTCAGTTACCAGGTACAAATTAGTGTACTTGACTCCGAGCCAGAAGGTTCTAACCAAAGTAGGTGAGATGGAATTCCGCGAATCATTAGCGGCAAAATGTTGGAAACACAAACTACTGGGACACGGCTCCATAACAGAATAATGTAATGTCATGAACCAATAGTTGCATAATCAGTTTAAAATATTGCACTAGTGATAGGATTGGGCTGTGGAGAGATTAAAATATAATTTATATCCAATATATATTCAATTACCATATTATCGAGCATTCCAGGAGATGTAGGTTTGTTTATTGATCGTAAACCGAGCCACATAAAAACATTGTCCGGATCAATTTGAGCGAGAGAATTAGAATCATTGGAATTACGTGAGCTGCCATTAACGATTCGATCAGGCTTTTTAGAGTAGTTGTATCGATTTGAGAAGAAACCATTTACGTGTACGCCATATCGTGTAATACCCAGAAGACTCGATGCTGAACGTTCAATTTTTAATAATACTTTTTCACGGTTATGAATGTAAACGCCATAGTCCTATTTTGAAATCAATAAATCAATAACCGTTTACACACTTCTGATAATAACAAAATATTTATGGAGATATGTTTGCGAAATTCAAGAAGGCACTATTTTGAATAAGTATTCATATGATTTATCTCAATATAAGGTTACTAAACTGATACTAATTAACTACCTTATAGATTAAAATGCTGAGACTAATTACCCACAGTTAGTCTATTAATCAAATATCTAGACAGTAATGCACCTGACCATGGTGCTTAACTCCACATTTACAAGCTGTGGGAACTTCATTAGTTGCCTCAAATTTAAATGTCTAATAATGTTCAGATAAAATCACATTTTTCATGTAAAGCTGTAACCCAGATGTTTAAACAGCTAACTTTTATTTACTGCGTTAGAGATTCAGCAATTATTTCATCCACTATAAATGGACAAACCAAACATGTTTTGGAATTTTCAAATAACGAGGCTTTAACCCAGTTTTGAAGTATGAAAGTAGTTGAGCAGTAATTATATAGTTTTCAATAAGTATCGTTATATTATAGCACAGAACAGTAATTTTGTTAAACGTAAAAACATAAGTCAAAGGCCTTCTTCAAAGTAATTTTCTAGAAAGACAAATAATTGGAAGATAAATCACAATACCTAATAAGTGGAACTTTGATTTATGATAGAAGAGTAAGAAATAGGCATATAGCAGGCTACTTAAAATTAATAGTTTACATGGATCATTTAATATTCTGCATTAATAACGTACAGAAAGACTATATGTTTTGTAGTGACTAAATTTCGATTTAATTAAAATCGACATAACAACTACGCGAAATGATTATGAATTCAAAGAAAAGTGATGTGATTACAAATTTATTTATTTCTTACGAAACTGTGTCCAAACGATCCAGGAATAAAGTAATTCATAGTGCATAAAAAGTAGAAAGAACGAGAAAGTTTATATCATATAAAACTTCAGTGAAAGAAACCACAAACCCAATGGTTTAGTATCACTACATATCAATGATAACCAACCAATAAGTGGTGAACCACACAGTTAGGTAATCGATCGACCTACCTTATAAAGGTCTGGTGATTAAAATAAAATGGAATCACCATAGGAAACCTCAGGTCATACTAAGAATAGACTAAAGAAGTCGACAGGTTACAAAAAGTCTTTACCGAAGACTATAATTGTTCTGAAATATTTGTTCAATCTTTCTGAGGTATCTCAGGCCTATAAAATTAAAAAAGAGCAACAAGGGCATTTGGAACAAATAACTCACCTCGTTTCTCCATCCTTTTAGAGCCTTGAAAGGACTTGTGGTCCGCAAATCTTGCATTACTTCTGCCACTGCATTGCTGCGGTCATTCACATTTATCATGGCCTGGTGCACTGTAATACAGTGATCACCGTGTTGCGGATGAGAAATCTTCACAAAAACATTTGCATATTTCAATAACCAATCCAAAAACATTGGGTGGATGAATCCGACAAAGTAGCCATCGAGCAAAAACTTGTAGCACTTATCTCGGGATGATCCTGGAAGAATATATGATACAAGCAACCATTACGTAAGTAGAATAAAGTGAACAGAAAATTGGTGACTAGAATTATGTTTACTAAAAAAAAATCAAAGTATCCAATAAGACCTTTAAAAATGTATTTAATCATCTTATTTCAAACTGGAGGGAGGACACATAACCTTCTGGGGAAAATATTAAGAAAATACTACCTTACGTCCTAAAATATTGTTTACAATACTATAATTAGATCATCCTCAAAATCATGACTTTTTCTTTATCTAAATAAGTTACAATTATTACACGGGTGTGAAACAAATGCCGAAGACTAGGTTTTTCAGATGAGTCGTATATTAAATGGAATTAATGGAAGTGAAATGAACTTGTCTAACTAATGAATGCTGTCGTGTTTATATTAAACCTAAGGCTTTGTGCAACGTTAAATTCCCAAAAATAAATAAATTAATGGCTAGCATAAATTACACTAAAGGTAAGGAAGTACAATATAAGGATTATCACAAATTAAATTCATCTAATGAATCACCTCTCCGATAACAATTTCAGAACAACACAGTTAAGTATTTTAAACAAGCGACTATTAATTAAATCACTGAAAGAACCACAAAATGGGGAATTACAAAACAATTCAGTTTTGAGTCCTAACGAAACAACAAAGATCAACATGTTTCCCCCAACAAAAAGTTACACTAACTATCCAGGTATATTCCTTCATGAGGTTTTAGATAAGACATGACAGCAGTGAAACTGGAATTATTATTAAGTATGGCCACGTACCAGTCAGTTTTTAAAATAGTAACATTCATCAAATAAAAATAGTAATCAGTAACAGTTTCACATCACCAGAACTCTATAAAGCCATAGGGAACCTAAGGATACAGAAATTTCAGACTACAGATCAAGAATCCAGCATGGTATAACTAATTAAAGTTACAGAACAAAATTTAAGTGTACATCACAGCTAGGTAAGGTATCCATATAGCTTTAAAGTAGGTCGATGAATTCAATCCATAAATTTCGCATCTGAATTGAGACCTTTGTAATGAATCATACACAATTATTTGTACAATCGAGTAGAGGACATAGTCAGCGCAAATATCGGAAGCACAAAAATTTGTTTCGTAAGGAGTCGTAACTAGAAGTCCCCTCAGTTTGTTACCCGAACTACCACACATAGGAAAGAAGAGATATAGACTGGACAACCTGAAAATCGTAACAAAACTGAGTTACCAAAGTTACTTTCAGGGAAAATCTGCCAAAGGGTAACGGTTCAACAAGACAGTAGCAGCAAGAGATGTCAAAAAAAGTAGAATGGGACGGCAAATGAAACGAAATAACAAGATATGAACTAATCATGAGATAATCAGAATATAAACCACAGCTACTTAGTCATGAAATTAATATTTTAGTCTCTACTCAAACAGTTTTCAAAACTAAAGAGTATTGAGTAAAGTACTTACGCGTGACAATCACAATATCTGAAGACTAATCGCTTTAGGTTACTTATCTACTTACCGACAAACCACGTAATATACAAACTACCTGTTCTAAATATGCAGTACATGTGAAGCCTAGTCTGCCGCCAACATAAGATCTTATAATGCTCTTTTGCTTCAATATACATACGGTGTATTTTGTAGCGTGGTGTTAGAATAAGTTCACACAAAGCCTATTACCTCTGCTTGACAAAAATCTTTGAAGCTTATTAGTGTAATGGACCGAGATCGCCTTCCATGTTTGATTTTTTAACCAATCACTAGAGAATAAAGGTGAATAGGATTATCTGAATAAGATTAACTTTTGGTAAGAACTATCGGATAAAAGATAAGCTAACATTTGATCAAATACACTCCCAGTTACCTCAAAAACAAAATAAATCCCTAGA